TGGCCACGCTAACCGCCATGTCAACTTCTTCGGTAGGACATTCTGGCGGGCATGGTTTGATATTGACCGAGTTGCTCTCGAGCCTGGAAGGCGTGACTACCTCGAGTATAGCTTCGGTACAGTCTTGAATGTGAACAACCGAAACTACGTTTTAGGTGCGATTCCCTATTACATATGGCTAGGAACTCATAAGCGACCATCATCATCTGGCCTTCCACACGAAATTGTTGAAAAGGTGGATGCTCTGGTTACCGAGTCACCTTACCTTTACCCAGCCAATCACTCAGCCGCTCTGTCTCGCGCAGTTGAAAGGGCCACACCAGAGATCCGATCTAAGGCTTTCGACGCCGCTATTGTTAATCTTTCTTCCAACTTGCCTCTTCCTTCTTTTTTCTATCAGAACCATCACTATAGGATTTATTACGACGATCAGCTCAAGAAACACACTCAATTCAATGACGAGTATATCTATGCCTTCACTTGGGAAGATACTCGCGTCGATGAACGCATCCTCAAGCTAAAGTCGGACGATGTAGTGCTAGCCATCACCAGCGCCGGCGACAACCTTCTTTCTTATGCTCTACAGGGACCAGCTAGAATTCACGCAGTCGATTTGAACCCGACGCAGAACCACCTTCTCGAGCTTAAAGTAGCCGCATTCTCTTCTCTCCCTTATGAAGATTTCTGGAAGATTTTCGGCGAGGGCAAACACCCCGAGTTCCGCTCCTTGCTCATCTCGAAGATGTCTCCTCACCTATCTAGTCGTGCATTTCAATACTGGCTTAGCAACCACCATATCTTCACTAAGACCCAGGGTGGTCTGTACGACACGGGTGGATCGAAACATGGAATTCGCATCTTCCGCTGGATTTCTCGCGTATTTGGATGCCGATCTGCTGTTAAAGAGTTACTCGCTGCCAAGACCTTAAATGAACAACGTGAAATTTGGCGCAACAAGATTCGCCCGGCACTCCTTTCCCGCTTAGTCTCCAAGTTTGTCGTGAGCCAAGAGTCCTTTCTGTGGACGGCACTTGGAGTGCCCAAGAACCAGCTCGCAATCATTGAAGAGGATCATGCTGTATCGGAAGCGGTTTGCGGTCCTAACGCACGGGCCAAGAACACGCGCTCCCACGCCATCTGGGAGTATATGGTCAATACGCTGGATCCGATGGTAGAGACGACGCACATCGCGGCTGACAATCCGTACTACCTAGTGTGTCTTGACGGTAAGTTCAGTCGAACTTGCCATCCAGACTACCTGTCACCTCAAGCGCACGCCCGACTCTCTCGCCCGGGGGCGTTCGATGGGTTACGCATCCACACGGACGAGATCGACGAAGTGCTCGCACGCATCGCGCCCGGTACCCTGACAGTGGCTGTTGTTATGGATAGTATGGACTGGTTCGATCCAGGATCGAACGCTGCGGCAGCACAAATTACTAAGCTCAACCGGGCGTTACGCATGGGAGGACGTGTTATGTTACGCTCCGGGGGTCTTCGGCCTTGGTACCTAGCCGAGTTCGAACGACACGGATTTTCAGCCAAATGTATGGGCGAACGCACGGAAGGTAAATGCATCGACCGTGTGAACATGTATGCAAGCTGCTGGATCTGCACCAAGCGCGAAAACCTGCCCCCGCCGAGTCCAGAGACGGAGTCGGTAGCCGGTTCCGAGATCACTTCTTTACAGATCTAAGACGTCTTCCAACGCATCAGAGGGAGGAATAAGTTGTAACAGTCGTCGGGGGGGTATCCTAGAATGAGACCAGTTCAATTATATTTCAGCCACTCTTTTCCATATATCATACTATTTATTCATTGATATATTTTCCGCATCGAACTTGGAAGTCCATTTGGCTCGGAATGATTTATTGAAAATTAGGTTGAAAACTTTATGATAGCATTTAACTATTCAAGTACCTCTTTAGTTGAGCTCGTGAAATATACCCTTAATTGAGGCAGGTTAGGTAGTACAATACCACGCCACAGAACTGCAATTTTGAATTAATTCGGCTGCCTAGAGCTGAGCTGCATACCTCCTAAGTTGATGTGCATGGCGTGACTAATAGTCAGGGGGTTTTAAAAAGATAAGAGCCCCTCTAATATCGAAACTTTATAGAAAAAACAACTAAAAGACGACATTCAAATGAGCACCTATTTATTAGGTTATTCTTGGTAAATCGCCGGCATCATGGCGCCTCTTACCAGCGAGCCCGATGCTATTCGGGTAGCACTTAATCTCCCCCGACGCAAGGTATTTTACAGCCTCGTCGTTGAGATTGCGGCGTACATGCGATCGCAACTAGAACTCCCTTACAGTCCCAATGCATCACCATCTCTCTCGTCCTCTTCAGGGAGAGCTCCACCTCAATATTCAGAGACAGCAGATGCGCCTCTATTCGCAACCCGCACTAACAGTCAGGACTCTAATCCCACGCCACCACCACAACCACCACGGCCGCAAAGGACGCCCCCTAGCCCAGCACTTCTTAAACTGCGGAAGGCGGCACTGCTGCACTTTGACTCATGGCGCGATGAGACTCTAGCTAAATTAAAGGAGCTTGCGGCTAAGCCTGACGATCAGAAAGTCGTTGACGCCCGTCGGAAGCGCGCCGAGCAGATAAACGCCAGGACTAGAGAGGAACCATCCGATGGTGAGGACCTGCTAAGCTTCGGTGATAATAGCAGGTCCACTCAGACATCGATGGCACCGGCATTACCGCCCCGGTCTACCGGACCGACCAGTCTACCCGCCTTCCAGGCCCTGTACCACCCCATCCCCACCCGGCTCACCACGATCCCCATGGAGGATCGTAAGGAGGTTCTTAGCGCCATGCTAATCCTACTATTGTCTATCGGTAATTACTCGGCGTACTCACGCACGCTAATCTGTTACCTGACTTCTGCGCTTGAGATCCCACCCGCGTTCCTCGACGCCGAGGAGACGGAGATCGCGACAACTATGGTCGAGGCCGCGAAGAAGGCTGAGCAACAAGGTGGTATGTCGGCCGAGGCCGAGGCGCAGAAGCGCAGGGAGCAGGGCCAAGTGGGCCGATTTTGGAAAGTTGGGTTGGCGTCCGTCGCGGGCGCCGCTATTATTGGTGTGACGGGAGGTCTTGCTGCGCCCGCTGTGGCCGGTGTTATCGGTGGTCTCATGGGGTCCGTTGGGCTGGGCGGACTGGCCAGTTTCCTGGGTATCTTCTGGATGAACGGTGCACTAGTGGGTACGATATTCGGGGCGTTCGGAGCAAAGATGACAGGCGGTATGGTCGACCAGTACGCCAAGGAGGTGGAGGATTTCAAGTTCCTACCGCTACGGGAGGAGTGGGGTGAAGGGTGGTCGAATAAAGAAGATGGCTCGAAAGCTCGTAGGCTCCGCGTTACTATTGGTATTAACGGCTGGCTTACGTCCGAGGAGGACGTGACAAAGCCGTGGCGAGTCCTTGGTGACGAAACTGAAGTATTTGCCCTACGATATGAGATGAAGAGTCTGATGGCGCTCGGTGATAAACTCAGAAGCCTCGTTGGCTCTACTGCGTGGAGTGCTGTAAGAGCTGAGATCCTTCAGAGGACAGTGCTTGCGACGCTCAAAGGCGCGCTATGGCCTATCTTTCTCCTGAGCTCGGCTTCCAATATCGATAATCCGTTTAGTCTCGCACGAAACCGATCCGAGAAGGCTGGTAAGATTTTGGCGGACGCACTGATCAACAAGGTACAGGGAGAACGACCAGTAACCCTAGTGGGATACTCGTTGGGAGCACGGGTGATCTACGCCTGCTTGCGAGTACTCGCAGATCGAAAGGCCTTTGGACTCATAGACAACGTAGTCCTGATTGGAGCGCCGGTCCCGTCTAACACAGGATACTGGCAGATGATGCGGACGGTGGTATCGGGCAAGCTGTTCAATGTGTACAGCGAAAACGACTACATATTGGGGTTCCTCTACCGCGCGACAAGCATGCAACTTGGCATCGCTGGGCTGCAACCTATCGGTGATGAGATCGAAGGGGTCGAGAACCTGGACCTAAGCAATGAGGTAACGGGTCACCTGCGATACCCGGAGCTTACGGCTAAAATCCTAACACGATGTGGGTTCCCCGACGTCCGCGGCGGCGCGGGCGCTATCGAGAAAGACGACGGGAAGATCGAGATTGAGCTCCGTGATAAGGATTGGGCTGAGACAGGAAATTTGATTGATATCGAGGACAAGCCGGAGCAGGCGAAGGACGAATTCGAGACGATGCCGAATGAGAAGTTTGACCCGGCGGCGAAGAGCGTGCAAGAGCTGAAGAGCGATATTGGTGTGAGAAATGCGAAGATAGAGGGGAAGAGGGACATGAAAGGGCCTGTTATCGTACCACAGCAACCAACGGCGGTAGCAACAACGACGACTGTATCTTCCGTGTCGAGCTTCACTGAGACACGGAGGGATACCCCTGAAGTTTCCTCCGTCGCTACTTCATCCAGGTCAACGAGTGCGACTCTGGTTGAGAGTCCACCGCCTGCGTACCCGGGTATTGTACAGAATACTGGCCGCAACGACGACGACGACTATGACTACGATTATGATTCGGATGAGGAGGGCGGCGGGATTAGGATGGTGGACAATGACTCAGATGGAGAGTTGACCTTCATCGAGCCGCTACGTATTGAAGATTGATTACGTGTTAAGGTGTGTTGAGAGGACGGCATATACCCAAGCATGGAGGAGGCAGGCCATGAGATTTTTACTGGGGGCACGGAAGTGGTAGGCGACGTGTTGGTATGACTAGAACTTCCCTGGAGGGAGGCCATATAAGATAAATGTACCATATCTAGTAGCTATAGGATTCAGAAGATTTTAACCAGAGTAGCCGTGATTAATCCTCCGGCCACAATCGGCCATTCAGAGGTTACGAAATTATGAGATTAAATTTATTGCAAAACTACTATGCAGTGTCTACCTAGGTAGGTATCTATAAGATGCCTGTAATCAAATTTGTCTATCTCTTATATGATATAACCATTACTCTAGTTAACTTCATGTGTTTTAATCTATCCCCTTTATCCCCGGCACAATCACTCTTCATGTCCGTTCTCGCGCGTTGGCGCTGAGCTTCTAGCCTCCTTCGGCACCTTAACGAAAAGCAGCAGTGTAGCAACAGCAGCAATAAGGATTGATAACGCATAATACGGCAGTCCAATCCATCCATCACCCAGCTTCATTCCAAGAGCGAAGAGCGCAGCGAGGAATGGCTGGGCATACACGCTGCCGACAACCTCGGCCATGGCGACAAGACTGAAAAGTCGAGAGCGATGCTCTGGGTCAACGTATAGGCTCATCAGGCTTCGAGTTAAACTATTGAATCCGGACCCAAGCGCCATGAGCATGAGCCCGAAGATAAAGCCTGAGAGTGTCGGTGCCAGACCGAGGATGAATATCCCCACGGCCAGGAGCGTATATGACCAACGTGCCAGGGACAGGTCACGATGATGCTCGTCAGGTGCTCGGATTCTTTTAGGTGTTGTGCTTTTCATGACATACCGAGTAACCCATGGTAGAATTAGGAAGGCTTGAACAACCTGGGCGGCTCCATACGTAGACTGGATGTAGCCCGTCTTGTAAAGCTCGATGCCGTACCTCTTGGACAAAAACTGCACCATAAACTGGAGTGCCGCGTATGAAACGGGCGGAGTTCCGAGGCACGTTATTAGAAGAAGGATGAGGGATGTGGACTTGAGCATTGAGAGCGACTCCTTAAATTGGGTGATGACGTGTGATACTCGTGATTTGAGGTCTGTGGTTTCTTCTTCGCGTTCTACCATTTCTTGATCATGACCAGGTTCCTGTCCTGGCTGATGCTTCAACGTCTCTGGGACGAAGAGAAAAGCGATCCCGCTTAGTGCGGTAACGGCAAAGGCGATCCAGATTGGCGGCCATGGCCCGGCCCTGGCCATTATGACGGACGAAAGTGCTGGCGCCCCAAGATTTCCGCATAAGCTGGCGACGTGGACACGCATGAATGCAATAGCTCTATAAATGATGAGTTATGCCCAGGTAGGTATCATTAGAATCTCAAGTAAGACGTACCTCTCTTCTTCGGTCGTCGAGTCAGCGATCATACTCAACACGATCCCAGCAATAACCGCACTGCCGCCGCCGAGGAAGTTGCCCAGGGACCCGAGCCAGATTAGCTCGACTGGGAATATGTTGTGGAAGTACACCACCGTCATGGCCCAAATAATCCCGAGGAGAGATCCGGCTAGAGCGAGGGCCACCACGGGCTTTCGACCGATTCTTGCGCAAGTTAGTTCGGTTATCAAGGCGAGTGTTGATTAGACTGTTCGACGCACCTGTCTGCTGCGAGACCCCAGGGGAACGCGGCGAGGAATCCGGCAGCAGCATCGGCGCTGCTCTGAATAGCCAAGATGAAGGCTACCTTACTCTGGATCGCGTTTTCCTTGCATCGTTTCTCGTCGACGGGACCGGACGTGCTACTATCGAGGCCGTAGTACTGCCGGCATGCTGCGTCCTCTAATAGACGGGTCTCTGGTATTCCGATGAGCCCGGTCGAGGACGAAGATATAAGAATGATGATGCAAAGAAGGTTTACGATCGTGCGCCCGTTATGGATCTTGGGCACGTGGACGCTTGTAATCGACGTAACCGATAGCCTCTGGCGATGCGCCGGCCGTCTTGGCCGCTCGTTTATCAACAGGGGTTCCGTCTCGGTGATAGTGATCCCATCCGAGTCCCGGCGATGAGGCTCGTCACCACCCATCATGATATTATTTAAATCGCAAAGCTTCTAGTATTCATGCCTCCTTCAATTAGCTCAAACCGCGTCTTCTCGATCGGATGTAAGATTACTTGAGATGGCCAATCTGAAGGAATGCTCAGCACTGAAACTTGTTTATTACTTACTCCCTTGTTAGCGCGTATTCCGACTCCGAACGGGAACGAGCCTAAAGGGGAAGGATTCCGAACTCCGAATTGACGTGCTTGTCTAGGACTCGTTATAGCTTATGATCCTTACTCCTGACGAATCAATAGCTGATAGGCTTATTCTGATCGTGAAAATGACTTCATCCGTCGTGAATCTGTTATTTAAATCTTTCGCCGCCATAACAGTGACAATTTAGTCACTAATCGCATTTAATATCACGAACCTTTAGGTGCTCGATCTAAAAACTAGGTAGTTTAGGAATTACAGAATCAAGGACTACCGCATACGAGCAGAAGGGTATTTTATATCTTGTAAAGCTTGGGATATATTATATGTTTATTATATGTTCCCCTTTCAATAACTGCACGTATGCTTTCTGGATACATGCATCCTGTCGAGCGTCTTCATACCTAACTTTCGGGCGGGAATAAATAGGGGTTTATATATTGTTAGATTAACCACATGACCAAGGGGTATCTTGTAACAACATAATTGTCATTACTTAATATATGCGACATATATAGCTTCTCATCTAATTAAGCCACATGTACCTATATCTTTAAGAAAGCCCTCACGAAAAACATACGATACTACTGCATAGTTGATCTAGCACAGCGGTATGCTCAATCATATTGTAAAGTGAGTTTATTACGGAAAGGCCACAGAATTATTCAGCCAACCGTATTTCATAAAGGTAAATACAATAGGTATACGGTGCAGCACCCCGATACTTAAGGATATATAAGTTATTTAAATGCTTATATCTACATCGAGAGCTAAGGAAGCAAGAAAAAGCCACAAGCACGCGGCGAGATAATCGTAGTTACTCCAACCTGATCAAAAGCTTGCCTCAACTTACAATGAGTGACTGAAGAATCTCGCTGAATACCTCAGCACTACCTACTGCGGCTGTAACCGCTCTCTCATTTTGCCTCATTAATAAGACGTTGTCTTACATGGGAAATAACATAACATGATTTCAGTTAGCTACTGATCGTAAAGTCGAGACATCTTCTCGTTTTCCTATCTACTACCCTTAGATATTATTACAATTTATATAGGATATTGATAGCGGTGATACATAGACTCCCGCTAGAATTACTGCAGCATATTCGTAATTCCATATCGCTATGTCTTAGTGATGATATCCATATATAGGGCTAACGTCATTAACCTAGCACCGAGCTTCCTTCAACGACCTACCTAACCATCCAGCAACCCCACACGTTTCTCCCTTTTTCTTTTCTTTTTTTTTTTTCTACGAGAAACTTTGATGGCTTAGTGGTATGTATTTAGGTATATATCTTGGCCCACGAGATGTCCACGTCTAGGCCCACTCTCTCCTGTGTCATCCCTGTTCATCGTGGATACATCCATCCATCCATCCTTCGTTTAATTGTGGTCGTCTACCATACTGTGTTGAATCTGGGCGTGTTGAGAGGTAGGTAAGCAGTCGGGCTGAGAAGTTGTCACTACTTTCATACTGTATTAACTTACATCTAGGTATTCAGATTTAGCCTGACCCCCTCCTAGGTTCATATAGATGGTGTCAAGAGGGATCTCGCCCTTACGTTTTGAAGTTTTCGTGAATTGCCATTCCGAAAGCTATACGACCTTGGCATACAGATCTAATCTAATCTTGACCGCTTGAGATCCCAACATGCTTGTAGAGATTCCCGCGGAGATGTCTGAGATCGATTCCGATTTGCACGGCCTAACGACGCGGGCCACGGTACGGCTACAGTCTGTCAGCATCGGGACATCTAGCATCTTACTAGAAATCGGCATGTAACTCGATTGGCCCGTCACACCCCATCTTACCTGTTTCCAGGAAGGTGAACTTACGGTGAACATGTGCTTCTCCAAATACTGGGTAGCTTTCGTCTCATCCCAGACACGATGAGACCCAATCAATATTAGGTCCAAGCTTCGGGATGACGACTAAAAAGCAATGCTGACTTGCATGGACCTTACGACAGCTACGATGCTAAGTCCCAAAAGCTCGGGCGAGACTTCTAAGTAAATCGTGGCCTATTCAAGCCTCCAGGTCGCCATGCAACTAGGTAAACTCACATGCGCCCATCGTCAAGTGACCCCTCGGATACTCAAGATCCCGGGCAATCATCAACCGTCATGACATATCATACTGCAGTACCCTGGTTCTATGACAGTCGAATTCTCACCAGTTTAGATCCTATCCAATAGCCTCAAGTACAGTACGTCGGCTTTGTTTTTACTACTTTTGGAATCATTTGAGATATATTAAAGGGCTTTTCTCGGTATCCTACGTTGCTAACTGTGTGCCTAGGCTCATGAGTCTTTCCTTTGCTGCGACGTTGAAGTACGTTGATCCAATCGATCCACGTTCTAAGGTAGATCGATCTAGATCTCACATTAAATCTGTACCAATTTCTGGGTTGGGAACGATTGGCAGTTACCTTGGGCCTTTGGAGAATCGAGAAAGACAGGCTATCACATGTCATATAACTCTCATCCTTGTCATTTTCATGTCCGTTATATAAACAAGCAGATGAAAATGACACAAAAGCCTCCAGCTACCCCTACAAACCTTGCTAAGTGGCGCTCCTGGTACTTACCTAGATATATTCCTGTCCAATAGGCTGTAAACCCCATAGCCATAGCTGTACCGATGTTTACATGCTGCCGGATATGGTGTCGTGCAGTTAGAAAACGCCAACCGCGGGACTTCCCGGCCCCTTCCGAAGAGTCACTAGTGCAACGTCCGCTCATCTCTCACGTACTTCACAGTATAACATGCTTTATAAGTACGATCATATGCAGCATGGCTCGATGGCGTTGCGGGCACGAAGATGGGGAATTCATTATACTTAGGCAGGTAGGGCTGCTTGGCCAGGGTTGGCTACTTGGCTACAGCTTCGACATCCTAGTTGAAACAAATGAGGAATGACACAACAGAGAAAACTACTGCTGTCGATATCCTTATATCTCAATACGACAATGCAGGGTCGTAGATTTGGAAACGCAGCTGCATCTCAAAGTGGTGTACTGTCTTAGCCAAGCTGAATGTGAGTACAAATCCTATCCCACTGTTTCTAGGCAGCCTTTTAGAACATTTTGATTATTCCCCAGAATATGATATTTCACCAGCGACACGCGGCTAACGGCTTCTAGAATCCCCATAGTCCTGCCGTCTAGGGCTGAAGCTGAACGATATAAGTTTGAGCGTAGGTCTCATGAGAACGTCTTAGATGAACCCGCTCTTCGCCTCACCAGTTCCACATCTTATTCTACTCGTAAGGATATTCATCTCACGAGAATTCCTTAGCTGTTTTAGCAGAATACCTACTTCTTTCACTTGCAAGTAATTCATCCTCAATAATGGCAATCAAAGACCGCTCGGAGTACGTCCAACCTTCTACGATGACCATAGATCTTGTAACCCAGAATAAAACACGCCGTCCGCTGCCGACATTCCAACCAAAGTCCCAACAGAACCTACAACGGCGAAGTCGAGGTCGAGGACCAAAGCCATGCGCTGAGATCCCGGTATCGGCGAATCGATTCTCAAAAAGAACCCTACGTCAATACCTTAGCACCATCGCCGTGCCGCTGCCACTGTCCAAGGGTGCCTGCCACCTTGAGATCCTCCCTCAAGACATCATCGACCAAATCAGCCAGTACATCCCGTACGAGAACCTGATTTACCTCTCCTGGGTATCCAAGGCACTCAACAAAATGGTCAACCCGCGTCTGGCGCCCCACGAAACGAAGCTCTCGTTCGTGCTACGCGCCGAACGCGACTTCTACCGACACTACAGCAGCACGCCGTCCAGCCTCGGCTGCTTCATATGTTACAAAGTGCTTCCCGCGAGCGTCTTTGCCATCGACCAGCCGCTGCAAGCCGAAGTGCGCTCCTCAGCGCTAGGCGGGACGACGACGACGACGGTAGTCAATCTGCGGCGGTTCTGCATCGGCTGCGGCATCCAGTCCGGCCTGCACAAGCCGGGAGACGAGCTGATCACGCGGATCGACAGCCGGTTCTGGATTTGCGACTGCTTGTATACCCACGGCGAGAGAACGCTTGTCTGTCGGGGCTGCGGCGTCATGTGTTACCTTATGCCGAGGAGGACGAAGCCTGTGTCGTTGTTGAAGCCGACGGTGGGATATTGGAACTAGGACGTTGATGGCGCAGTAAGGGGAATTATGCACAGTTTGCCTACTAATTCGTCCCGGAGATAAGATTCGATTGGGTCTTTTCTCTACCCCTTAGAATCTATTACTCCCGGATCTAGGAGAGTAAATCTAGGCCATAGATATATACTTGATTAGGTACCTAGATAAAGTGAGGGCGTTTGCTTGGACTCACTGTTAATAGTATGTGAGCTTGCTGCTCCAGGTGGGCTTTTGATTAGCGATTAGCATGTCGATGGATGGCAATAAGTGTGTTTCAACGGCAAGGGGGGTGAGAAAATGGGCTTTATTTGGATATCCAATGGGAGGCTGTTTTGCCCGGGTACCGTTGGATTTTGTGCAATAATGGAAAATAACTATTTACTTTGTATCGTAATCGTGTCAGCCGCACCCGTGGTTTTGTAGCTGAAAATGACTTGACGGTGATCTACATTTGTGGCGTTAAGACCAACCCCTGAGCTTAATCAAGGCGTTTTTATGTGCGGGGAGACACGCGACTTCTTGTCACTTTCAGCCGTATATCTAACCTATGTCAGTCTCGATCACTTCAGTGAATACCGTAATGAATGTCGTAATGCATGCGTAGCGCGACTCAATTCCGGGTATTAATAAGAAGATATCTATCTAGGTGAAGATGGGAAGACTTAAAATATCGTAGTTTGGAATATCAGTAAACAATCAATTCATATAGTTAAATAGAAATAAGAAAAGAATCAACAAAAGAGACAAGGAAAAGGAAAAGAACAAAAAAGCTGAGACCCGGGATCCGACCCCTAATCGATTGACCAGAACAAGTTGGCCTGCTTGCCGCCCCTCATGGGGAATCGAACCCAAGTCCTACGAAAAACCCCTCGGGGAGTTATTTCTGTCCCTACTTCATTACCGCTACACCACGGCCATGTTGGTTTCGCGGCACTGATCAGGGGTGAAAGAACAGCTGCCTAAGGGGTTATTTAAGTCGACAGCGGGGTACGTGATGTTGCTTAGCAACGGCAAACAGACCTACATATAACACCCGTGCTTAGAACCTTGAACAAATTAGCAGGCCGATTACCACCTGTAATCAAGGCTTTTATGCTTCGTAGAGCTTTCTCCTTTCCCGGAAATAATGTGTTGAAGATGCGGTAGGTAGTAATATTCTAGGCAACTTGTCTTAATCTCCTATGAGTGAGCCCTTTTAAGCTTGTGTCCTGACGTATTTTTATTCCAGTCGTTTCTGCTGAGCCCGTTGTGTCCACTTCGGCTATTTTAAGGCCTAAACTCAAGAGCATGTTTTCCTTCGTACAGAATTAGCTACCTAATCCATATTCCTAGGCTCGACTAACACGGGGACATACCGGGCCAAACCTCCTAAATAACCAACATACGAGTCCTCTTACTACTCGGGCGTGCAAAAACCCTACTCATAGTCCTCTCTTGTTACTGTTCCGGGGTCGTAAGAACTCCATAAGTCATCATACTCCTTAAGGCAAGGAATATTATCTGGGTCAGGTGTTGTATACGAAGTGGAAAAACGACATAATACTTATTATTTTCGGATGGTAAATTCTATATATGGCGTCATAGTAATAATGATATGTTTGCAATAACGTCCTAATCTAGTGTCTACGCCGTCTTGCGGAACTTTTGCATCCTTAGGTACCTATCTCACCATATCACGATGGAATACAATCATACCTAACCTATGATATGACTTCAACCAACAGAAACCTCCCTTACTTGCCGTTGGTCCGTAGAAATTAGTAGTTTACGACTATTCGCGACGTGCCGTGTTACACAATAGGACTTTAGGCAAACGAGATCACATCTACCTTAGGTAGTCAGATAATCATCTCTCATCCGAGGTAGTCATATTAGTAGGAGCATTTAACATCTGAAGGATTGTGACGGCTCCTTTCGGAAGCCTTTCCGCGGTTTCTTACTCAGCGCTCTTATCGAAGTCCATCTTGCGAGGCACGCCTCGTAATCGGGTAATCATAGCATTTATGATATTACAGTCCTTGAGAGCTTTAGTGTTGCATCTATAACTAGTCCCACTAAACCAGGCACGATCCGGTGCCCTTACTAGGGTTGGGGTGCCATCATCCTCGGTGTATGAAATAGGAATATAGTATTTCATCAGGATGACTGAGGTATAGTTTCACGCTTAGTTTTTAATAGGCTAGGGCCTGTTCAAGGCATGAAGCTTACGATGGTGTTCTTCAAGTGACACTTGTATTATTATAGACATCTAGATTAGGTAGTGAGCGACGTCCATGCTCTCTACCTAGGTCCATAGGAGGTAGCCGTGAGTTACCGATGCGATTTACCTGAATTAGACCCATTATTATCATACGAAGCCTGTTTTCATGAGGCGAACTCCAAGTCTAGATGCGCCTGAAAACACAAAGACCCTGCTTAGCCCTACCTTAACAGAAATCTCGACGGAGCCCATACCAGATTATGGCGAGAATTGGCTCGAGTAATCCTCCCGCCTGCGCCATACACGGGACTGTCCTACCGAGCTAGCATCGTCAGATCTTGGAACGCTATATTACGATTTGCTGTTCTAATAAAACCCAAGCGGCAAAGGCGAAGGAGGCCTCAATACGGCTGGGATGTTGAATGAACAAGGCAAGGTTGTAGTCTTTATAGATGAGACAGGATGGTCCGAAAATCTAAGGCGTCTGGTAGATTCACCCTTGCGTGCGGGATCGCCTATGTCTATAACCCGAAGAGATATGATCTCAGCGAAAATAGCGGGAGGGAACAATAGGCATACGACGCTAATAATCCCCAGGAAAGTTCTCCGTGCTTCTTCGATAGGCTATGATAATTTTATAAATCTATCGGGACCGAGTTCCGGGTCCGATAAGGTGGTAGATCGGCCCCTCAGGCCCCTCAAACTTGGAGAATTTTAAAACAGGAAAAGAGTAGTAGTAAATGATACTAGCCATCACTATATCGGGAACGGCGACGATGCTACTCACTGATACGGGCGATTATAATGCATGCAAGCTTGCTAAGGGATATAGGCCGTGGCAAAAAATTTTTTTTTTTTTTCATATATCGATCGCTAATAGGAAAGATAATAGAAAAGATGACGATTTCTTAAGTTCCCATTCGTATTTGACAGTGTGCTGAATGGAGAATGGAAGCCCCTGAGAGAATATGATATAGAAAATAGGGGTCAAGTTTTTCGAGCGACAGGTATGATACGTGCTGGATGGCTTTAGACGCATCTTTGGCAATGTCACATATCAGTTGTTGATTGAGCCTTTATCGAAACTTGAAACAGGATGACATGCAGCACCATTTGAAAATGGGTAGGGGTCCGTAAGGCTGACATGCCAGAGGTAGGCATAGAGTTCCACATAGGGGAAATGGCGGCGAAATGAGGTAGATAGGATACTACTGAGTGAGGTTACGCGGTCCATATTTCGCGCGGAAAGGCGACCAGTGGTGAGCGCGAGGGGTGACTAGGCCGTGACAATGCGAATAATTCGTGGCCACGAGCTCGGTAGGAAAGCTGCAGCTGAAACGATTTGGTAACCTTTTGATAACCTACAAACTGGGAGAGATATTATTAGATAATATGTGTTAGCAGGGCTCATTTCTTCAATACGACCTGTTAACTCGGGGTCCCCTTCATGGTCTACCTATGCGTATAATCCCGCCGCGGAATTTGAAATTTGCTAATGGATAGGTATAGAGGCGCGACCACGACATGGAGGCGTTTTGGTGTATAGAAGTTTAGCCCGGTTGAGCTGGGTCTTTCGGTAAACAGGTAAGGCTACTAATACGGATCCGTAACTTGACACAAATGACGTTGGTATCGGACGTACGTTTTCCTGCATAAGGCAGATCGAAAGTGGCTGAGGGGTAAGATAAATTGATGCGCGACAACAGGCTGCAGTTACATCTTACATCTGAGAATGATCTGCATCCTATTTATTCTATGACTTGCATCCGAAAAGGGTGAAGTAGTGTAACGGATCCCCGCCACATTGGAATTGCGAGACTCAGACTCGGGCGCTGGGAATAATTTAGTCAGCTCAAACTCCATGGAGCACCGCCCGGCGTATCGGGACTCGCACTCGCTTCTACAGTCACCAAAGCCATGGTTCTTGATATCGTTAATATCGGTTACCAATTGTCCTTGGCAAAACGGCATATGGTGTAGGATCAGCAGCAAGGTTACTGATGTCCGGGATTTTAACGGTAGAATCTTCAATTGGTTAGGGGGCCCCCCGCCGGCAGCAGGCATCGTACTTAACAAGCATTCAGAGCCGGCACGGCCAGACGGCTCGGGACCATTCGATAAATAGCCGTCTCAGGTCAGATGTTTATATCGATTTTTAGATTCCCGCGAGGCATAAACGGCCCTCCAATCCTCGATCTTTATCTTGAGTTGAATCGGCAACCTGTAACATACGCGGATTGAGATCCCATGCATTTGCCAGTCGTCACTCCTTTCCAGTCTGCAGCCAGAATAATACTCTCCACCAGCTGACTTGCGCCAGCTCCGCAAACTCCGATCCTGTTAACCCTGTCGTCAACTAGTAGTACCTAGGTATAGGTGGAATAGCCCCTGAAAGGGTTTCGTGACGGGGGATTCAAATGCATCTTGAGCAATCCTATCCGAGAAAAACCCTGTAAAGTATAGACGTTGTGAAAATCAAAAGGTCAATTTTGGCCATGTCGTGTATTGGGCACACCGCGACCGTATACTACACATGTCGGCTAGTAGTATCTTTCTAACACAAAGCTAATCAATAGGAAACCGTATTTTCTGATCTTAAGCCAGGAACAGCAGCTCAGGATGACAGTTATGTGCCTGTCATTGGTTAGCGGATGCAACGTCGCTCGTCGAATTCTTCGCTGTTTCAAAGGGCCCTCTGGGTTATTCTCAGGGTCGCATGGGCTTTTCTAGAAAGAAACTAGAAAGTTCTCCTTCGTAACATTTAGGCTATCGGGTATGTCGGTTGAGTAACACCGGCGAGTCTCGCACCATCCCGCTGCGTCCCGTTGCAACTGAACTTCAAAGGTTATACACTAGAAATAGAATCCTAGCGGCTTACTTGTTTATCCCCACGTGCGGCGCGCTCGGTTCTTGACTACCTAAATTAAATAAGTCAGCACT